AAAAAATTCGATCATAGAATTACAAAGAAAAAAAAACAAACATTTCAATCATGGATTACATAAAATTCGATCATGGATTACAAAAAATTCTATTATGGGTTACAAAAAAACAAAAGATTCGATCATGGATTACAAAAAAAAGAAAACAATTCGATCATGGATTACAAAAAAATCGATCAAGTATTACAAAAAAATCTATCATGGACTACAAAAAAAAAAAAAAAAAATAACGGGACTCGCCGATTCCGTACAGTGAATCGGCTAGTCACTGTACAAAATCGTCCGGTTCTCTCTAGAACCGGACGATTTCCGATTTTTCAGCTGATACGATTCACTTTTTCGATTTCCGAGTTGAACCGGGCGAGTCCGGTTCGACTCGGCGTTTTTTAAAACACTGGTATAATGTCGTTATAAAAAGCAAGAAAAATATTTATTGATACTAAAGATTGAGGTAGTTAGGAATTCAGTGCGAGATTCAAATTTGCTCAAGTATTTTGTTGTTTTTTTTATGCATAGAGAATTTTTATTAATTTTATATTTTTTTATTATTTTTTATTTCATTGATGTATAAAAAGTAGCATTTTGGATGGACCATTATTTTATATAATAGGGTATTTGAGTTTTTTTAATTAACAAAAATCTTCTATTGGGAGTGTTTTTTTGGTTTTTTTTCTTTGAAAAATAATCTTATACCTTGGTTCACACTTCTTGTTAATTGCTAATTAGTTATTGTATTTAGTATTATTATTGTTGTTTCATTTTATACTCCCAATAAATTTACAATATATTTTGTGTTTGACAATAGAGTAAGGATTATTGCTGGATTTATTAAACGTTTCAAAAATTTGTTGTCAAGTATTACTCTAATGACACTAGTAAGGCTATAAAATTATTGTTTAATGGCTTTAATATATCTATACAATAACTACAAATCATAATCCTATATTGTATCATTTACATATCTAATTTTTTCACCATGTTTTTTTAATTAAATCCGATATATTCACGACATAACTTATTTTTTGGGAATCCGTATTTTTTTAGATGATTTTTTCCTTTGACTTTTTGAAATAAAATTGATTCATTTCCAATAGTTTGATTTGCCGATATTTTATTATTCTCCAACTTGCCAACTATGGTCTGCACCCCGTTATTTCATGCCAACAATGGACATTTCTTATGTTGATAATAATGCTCCTTTAGGTCTGCGGTTCGTTGACAGTTAGGGGAAAAGAGAAGAAAAAACAATGGATAAAAACAAGGGCATCACATAAGAGAAATTCATGCTTTATAGGTCATGGCTTCCCTAAAGAAAAACAAACAATAAACCGCTTCTAACTTTACACCAAGTTCAGGCACAGTTAAGATTCCTTAAAAACCTCGTAATAGATTTAATAATCAAATTCCCTTTAAACATCACTCTTATCTCAAACAACTAGCTGCCCTGTCCATTCATTAATCAACCTAAGATGGGCCCAAGATCAACCAAAGAACTTCACATTATACATTTTAATAAGAACTTTCAATGTGTCAGATCCTTCGAATTTCAGAATTCACAATATATTCACCAAACAAAATATATCCAATGGGGGAGGGGGAGCATTCATGCTATGCAAGTTTGATGTATAGCTTTGTGCCTAAAACTTGAAATCCCTCTGCGTTGTCTTCCCTTCCTTTTCCTGCATATTGCGCTTGCTCTTTTTCTCAGCCTGCACAAAGTTATAAAAAAAAAAAAAGTGAAAACCTTGAGAACAACATGACCAAAAATTCCAGCCCATTCCATAATGCATTCAAAACAAACCTTTGCCACCATGTCATTGAAGGCCTCCGCGTTGATTTCATAGCTTCTCCTCCTCCCTTGCTTCCTCAAACCTGAACCATGTCACCCCATAATGAATAACTCACTCCCATAAAACTCATAAAACTTTGCATGTATGCATCAATCAACACACCAAGAATCCGGGCACCTATTATAAAACAAAACCTTACTTCGCTGCCAAAGTAAAGTCATCCAAAGCCTCTAATTCCGGCCTAAGCGTGACATCCAATTTATCCTACTTTTGCCCTAGTAGTAGCTCAACCTGCGTAAGGATTATGTGGAATCAGTATGACAAAATGCAGAGGATAATTTAAAAGAGGTCGAAAGTTCAGATATAAATCTAGCCAACAAATCATTAATAGGTCGTTTGGGTCCTAGGACACGCAAATCTTGGGTTTTTTTCAATACTTGGTTTTGCATATTCTGGTATATATAAAACCTGGTTTAGCGAACAATGTTGTTTGGCTTACTGCTGGAAGAACCTAGTATATGAAAAATACCCTGTTTGGCACCAAGAAGATGAAAACCACGTTTTGACTGTTTGCTGCTAATGTAGTTTAGCCGTTCATCCTATAAGTTGATGATTCCCTTGTAATACATGGCCAATATAAAAGATTTTTTGGGAATCAGTTATCAATAATATAAGAAATATATTTGACGGTTCGGATAATATTTTGCGATATGTTTATAGGTCGAATTATGATTCTCTCTTTCTTTATGATTCTCTCTTTCACTCTCTCTACGTACACGACCCATGATAAGTTATTCCCAGATTACATAATGAAAGCGATAAAATAGGCAAATTAAAACCGGCTGAAAACAAAAGTTCATATAACAAAAGCTTTACAATAGATCCAAGTGCATACACATTGATATAAATGTTCATGTAACAACGCAATTTGCATTATCCCCAAATTGGGTTCGAAAGTTCATGTAACAACGCCATTTACATTATCCCCACATTGGTTCCACGTACTCCTATAAAGTATGAAATGGACTTATTGTTTCTCCCTTCACCTCTTCACTGAAGGAGCTTTGCCAGCCCAAAGTCCGCTATCTTGGGCTCTAAACCTGCATCTAGTAGTATGTTTTCGGGTTACACATCGCAATGTACGACCCACTGTAGGCACTCATGATGCAAGTAAGCTAGGCCCTTTGCTGTGCCTAGAGTAATCTCAAGCCTCTGGTTCCAGTACAGAGTGAACCATCAGCACAAAAGCCCCACATCCTCATTAAAAAGTTTATGCGGTATATCATCCCTATTGTGCTCACTTCTGCCCAAAACTCTTCCTCACCCTGCATTACATCATGTAGCCTCTTCACCCCAACTACCCTACCATCACTCAAAACTCGCTTATAAACAGCACCAAAAGCCCCCTTATTGGCTTCGATATACCCTTGTAGCCTTTCTATATGGCCTCAGGCATACCATGTTCCAATCAAGGAACAACCACCCACCTGCTAAGAATCTGATGTCTATCCCACGAATTGCACTGACAAATCAATACAACAGAAGATTTGTATGCTTGCTCTCCCCATAAATTTCAAGCCCCTCTGTGATTGCAGCTTCACCAGTTAGGCATCTCAATTCAAACCCCTCTGTGATTTATCACTAGAAACAAATCAAAGAACAAAACAAAACTGTATTGTGGGATTTCAATTGAAGGTAGTATTGATGGGTCAACAACTGTATGTCAAAAACAATTATAACAGTAATCTAAGAAAAGACAAGACTCACATGACAACATGCACAATACAAAGGAAATGCAGCTAACACATTAATTGCAGTCTCAGGCATAAGAGGGGGGAAAAAAAAAAAAAAATTGAAGCAAGCCATGAATTCCAAGTTGTCTAACACGAGCAAACAAATGCCATAAATGCTAATTGGTGATGTATTAACACAAGCAAGTCTTGCAAATTTTCCATTCTAAAGCAACAGACTATGATCTAGTTCATATATTCAGTTTGAGAGAGAGAGAGAGAGAGAGAGAGAGAGAGAGAGAGAGTAGTACACTAACTAGTTAGTATACTCTTACTTATAGTACGTTATTTACTTACGTAGTAGTAGTTAGAGTAGTTAGTTACGAAGTATATAATAGTAAGTTAAGTAAAGT